GAAAGCGTTCATGTAAAAAAAGTTGACAGCTTTTCCAGCACGTGGTTACTGTTGGCAAATGCTGCAGTTCGGGATCTCTTAGACAATGAATGTGGGGGAGTTCCGACTTTAACTTCATTTTAAACGTTTCTCTGCGTACGGGTGCAACTTATTTCGAAAATTAAAATCGAGCTTGTGGTTTTTTTTTTTGGCGCTCAAGCATATAGTTTTAAAAGTTTTTGTAAATTGAAAATGTAGGAATTTGAAGCGTATTTTAACTAAAAAATTGTATTCAGGGGACACTGGCACTGCACTGTGCGCCCATATTGAAAAATACGAACGATTAGCAACTGAATTTAACATAGCTACGATACATTTAGCGTGGCCGGATTTGAATAGCATCCAGGGTTTTATATGGCTGGTTTTTCAACGATTTTTGTGACCATTCGGGCTCAAAACAGCTAATTTAATGTATAATTGTGCATGTGTTTGTTTTTTATTGCTCTGTTGCAGAAACGAATTTGAAAAAGCAGGGTATGCTTCCGTTGACATTTGTGAACGCTTGTGATTACGATAAAGTGCAGCCAAGCGATAAAGTATCAATTTTGGGCCTGAAAGATTTCGCTCCCGGAAAGGTTTGTTTCATCCTTGAATCTTTCCGCGCAATTTCATAAACTTTATTTTTAATAAAAACTTTATCTCGAAATTAAGTTGTCTCAATCGCCTAACTTCTTATTAATCAGTTTTCCTGGGAAATCATCTTTTATCCCTTTTTTTTTGACTTGAAAAATATTAGGCATTAAATGGCCAAAGTCGAAGCTTTTTTCTTTTTTCGAGAAACAAAAACGAAGTGGCTGAAAACAGTGGTATTTTATAGTTTTTAAATAAAACACACCAATAAGTTTTGGTGCTCTTTTGACTGGTGCTTTATAGCCAGCGGTATTGTATTTATAATCCTCTTTAAAATCCACATCATTTCTTTTCATGTAGCGACCCTTTTTGATCGCTATATCTTTTCTGATTTTACAAATCCTCGTCTGAATTACTTTTTATTTTCTTGAAAAATTTGCCATCTTTTATTTTCAAAAAGAGATTCGCACCTCCTAAATCCCTTTAACTTTGTGAATCAGTACTGTATAATCGAGCAAATTGTGTCATTTCTAACACATATTTACGTCAGGCATCAAAAATTTTTTAAATTTTTTGATTTCTTATGAAACTTGTTTGTAGTAGGTTTTTTTTTCAGCCATTGAAATGTATCTTGAAACATGCGGACGGGACGAAGGATGAGTTGTGGCTAAATCATACATTCAATGCGCAACAGATTGAA